ATAGTGTCCGACCGAAAGTTCGGTTTCGGTTTCGGTTTCGGTCGAGTTTCGGCAAAAAAACGAGTTTCGGTTTAGTTTCGGTTTCGGCGGCAAACCTGTCGAAACTACGACCGAAACCGAAACTGCGTTCGGGAATTTTCGCGCTCTGCTCGGTCATGTTCGGCGCGTTAAATTCCATCCAAGCGAAGTATACAATACTTACGTATAACTGGTAAAAAGTACTTTTTAATTTTAATTTTTCCTATTTACGTAAATAGTTGGTTGGCTTGCATCTTTTTTTCATTAGAAATGGATTCATATTTTCACATAATTCTTTTTAAATATCCTTATTACAATTTGCGCCATTTATTTTGAAAGTTACTTGATTTGTTAGACAACCCGCGCGACCGAACCGTAATTTGTAATGCATACTCTGAGTGCTGTAAAAGCGAATTTTGGGAGCTTAATTGCAAGTATGCATACTTTACGAGAAAAGCTTTTTTTTATTAAACATCATATTAATGCAATTAATTTTTCTTTCAATTTAAAAATTTGCAATAAAATGATATAAAAAACAATATGTTCGGTATCAAAGGTCTGTTGTTGATAGTACTTTCGGCATATTCCTAATATGTTAAAACATTATAATTTAATGAAGTTAAGAGATGACTAATTAAGCCAGAATAGCAATGTGTCGTTTAAAGAAAATTAATGAATTTCTTTACCTCTTGTTGGAGAAGAATTTATTTAATTTCAGATATATGTAGACCATAATATTAGGCACTAATTTATTTCTTTACAATAAAGAACACCGACCGTATCATCTTTGTCGGGCCTTGTCCAATTAGTGTCAAAAGTCGTGTGTAATTGAATCTCCGAAAGTCGGTGCTCAACTATGCCTTCTCTACTTTTTGAGATCGTATTTAACGTGCCTCAACTTTTGACTGACACGCCGTAATTAACGCTATGCTTTAACGCCATAAAATTGGACTATTAAACTGGTGAATCATTTGTGAATTCCTCTGCAAAAAAGCAACACGAAATATGCACCCGAGTTCTTTTAACTTTTTGTTTTATGTATTTATATCAGTTGTCATTTTTCACAGTATAAAGGTGGAACAACTTTTCACTTTCCTTTTTTTGAAATTTATTTTTATTTAAATACGAGATATAAATAATAGAAATAAAATAGTCTCCATTANCGTGCCTATCACGTTGAGGTTGGCTACACCGGGATTCGTTTTCAGCAAGTAGATATCCACACAAGTGGACCTTGTTGGAGCATACGTAATCCTAAAATGTAGCATCGGGCTACAGATGGCGCTTACTGCTCCATTTGTAGTATTTTCTGAAACACATTATATTAGTTTTATTTTTTTTGCGAATTTTGTTAATTTGCACCCGTAGGATCTAAATGTGTGCCTTGTGTGGGAAAAAGCTTAACGATCATGTCAAGGAATCGTGTAACAATTTAGGTTCAATTTTAATCTTGGTCACATTATAAATAAGTAGATACACGCGTACGTTGTGCGTGTATGTATGTGTGTGAGATCGGTTTTTTGTGCCCTTGTTTAAAAGACGGATATCTAATCGGTTGATCGTGTTTGTTTCTTAATTAATACAAAACCAGGACGTGTAGATGCAAGTTTTAGATGAAGGCATTGTGCGTCGCACCCACTGAACTTAAAAACGCAACAGAAAACGTTACAGCTACATTTTGCCATTGCTGATTGTTTACGGTGACTTTCTAACAGCCTTGCTGAACGCTTTATTTACTAATCCAGAGGTACATGTAGATAAGTCACTAGGGCAATTTTGATCCAAAAGTTTAAACTTATTGAATTCTATATTATTTCAAGAACTTTAAACAGTTATGTTAATTTTAGAGGTTTAATTAGCCCACTAGGGATTCCTAGATCCAAACATCAGAGTCAGCGTCATTCAGTTAAGAAATCAGATAATCCAACGTGATGGTTTTCTAGTTTTAATTAAATTTGTATTATTCCATGACTTATGGTGCTATTTTCGAAATAATAATTATCTAGAAAATAACAGTAGTATTTATCATTGTGCATCGAAATTCATGTTGAAATAAAAATTGATTTATTTTTTTTACTATTATTGTAGCAATTTGAAAAATATTATTATAGACGTATGCTTGGAGTGAAATGTGGACAGTAGGCATGGTGGAAAAGGGTATGAAGCATTGACGATGTGGAGTGTTTAATATCGATAGGAAATATTAGGGATGAGGAGGTATTAGAAAGAGTAGGATAGCAAAAGTGCAATGGAGGTCAGTAAGGAAAAAAAGGAAAATGATCTTAGACCAGCTTCTGAAACATGAGTTACAGACATAGTAAAAGAACAATAGGGGTGAGATGGAGCAGAGGAAGACCTAGAATAGATCACTTTTACAAATAATTAGGGATTGTCGGAGATGTTCTGAATTTAGGAGAATGAGAGGATTGACTCAGGGGATGCCTGCCTCCAATGAATCTTCGGATTGGTGACCTTTTGATGATCATGATCTTTATTTTATTAAATTAGCGCATTTTGCATGACTTAACGATTTTTATATGCAAAGGCGTCCCATCTTTTATTTCTGAGTTCACTGGTCGCGTTTCGATCCCAAATATTTTCTCACGATAAAAGATCCTAAAGATTACCATCACGCGTCGCCTGCTCTTCGCCTGGCCATGGCAACCTGCCATGATCGATTTCCGCATTTAATTAATTAATATAATGATAATAACTAACGCGATCTTTTGTATCGGTAAACTGATGCTTTAGATAAAGTAAGGCCGGACATGATCCAACTTTTAATATGACAAGACTAATTTGTTCCTATTTTTAATTATTAAGAAAAAATGATATGAATTTAGATTTTATTGTGTAACCATTTCGTTGAACTATAGCAGTTTGTAAAATAAATAGACGTAACAGGAAAAACGCTCGTTAATTCTTTACTATTGATTGTTATAATGGCGGTTTTTGCAATTTTGCTATTGATGGATGCGAAGGATAAAGCACAAAGTAGCAAGTAGTAGTAAAAAAAGGGGCGAGCAATATCTCGAAATGACAATTTTAGGATTATCGGTTGCTACTAACAGGTTAGCTTCTGAAACCTGTTAATATAACTCCTCTTGAACATATCCACCAGAGGTCAAATGTGGCGCGTGACGCTGTGACGTGTGACGTTACACTTTTCGGTTTTATACTCTATTAAATTTCCTTCCTCACAGCCTCGAGTAAAACAACTCCTGGACTGTCGTTGTCATTTAACTTTAACAATGTCGTTCTAAGCTATTATGTGACTGAACATATAGCTCACTAGTTTGCCGCCAATTGGGCTAAAATACATGTCATTTGTTGAAGAAATCTGGTTTCCTTTTATCTATTAAAGATAGATTTTCTTTACAGATCGGAATATTTCTGATGAAGATTCCTGTCAACCAGCCCCATTGATACCACACACAATTACAACTATTATTAGTGGCTTTCATAACAGTGAAATGGCAATTGCGGGTACCGAAATGGAAGTCCGTTGTATTCCCAAATATAGAAATAATAAAACACCTTGCTCATTATCCACCAAAATTCGCTGTGTCAATGGACGATGGCTCGGGGATTTACCTACTTGTGGTAAGCATTACAGTATTATTAATTAGCTACCATATTTTAAGAACATCAGGTCATTACTTTTCGATGAGGCAGAAGTAGAAATTTTCTCCTTCCGCGTATACGTATCGCATCTTCCTAACCATACAATGACGTCATCAGTGGATATTGGTACATTTTCTGCTGAATTATTGCCTATTTAGGATATATAGATTTCCTAGGAAATGTGTCTAATATAATTTATTTCACACATTTCCGGACGATTTTAGGAATTATATACATTTCCTAGGAATTGTATACAACGACGGATTTCATACATTTCCGTTAACATACACACTTTTTGTTTCAGTTCCTGCCAAGGACTGTTTGCCCCCACCAGTCGTCCCTCATGCCCATATATGGTACATTAACAATTTCTTTGCTGAACCCGATAAAATTTCACATTACCCCATACATGCGCGCATAGCGTATCAATGCTGGCCAGGTTATGAACCGGAAGGAAACAGTGTTGCTGAGTGCTCAAATGACGGTTGCTGGTCCCCTTCAACTCCCCCAGTTTGCAAAAAGAGTTTGAAATACTTAAGTGAGTCTAATGTTTTTTGTTACATGTTCTGCTTATGAAATGCCTTTTTTTTTTTCATTGTTGCAGTTCAAATGGGCAATGCTGGTTCAACAGTTATATCGATGGTAACTGGTGCTGGTATCCTTGTATTGCTGTTCATCGCTTGTTTGGCAGTAATTTGTAGTCGACGGAAACCTTTGTCAAGACCTGTGACGATTCCGCCTCCAGTTCCGATGCCCAGGACCACGGAAACATCTGACCATGTCTCATTACTTAATCATCCAGATCGGCTAGCTTTGATTGCCTACGCCGACGGTGTACAGAATGGAAGTCAAGTAAGTTTTTGAAAATTATATTCTGTCTGTGGCATATTTCTCGAGTTTTTCTTTATGATTTTAATTTATAGACATTAAATTTTTAAAGTGAAACTTTTATTACATCGCCTCATAATTTTTCGTCCATCTATCGCATGTCGCATTACAGCCGGCCGCAAAGTAGGGGTAAAACTGAAACGCGCTCGGCAGAGCAGCCAAGGCCAATATGGCGGCGCCCATGGCTCGCATGAGCTAACCATGTAGCATTTATATTCTCACTCATTCGTGCAAGTGCATGACAGTTACATTTATAGACTGTGAAACTCAAAGCGAAGATAAAATTATTAATGGAATAACTGAAGTTCAAAATGATTCAATGATTTAAATAAACATTGTTCTCAGTTTTTAATATGCTTCTATAATCTGAATGACTTTATTTATTATGTATTCCATACTCTCATACGCAGATTGGAACTAAAATTTATAGTTAGATATCTTGTCTACTATAGATGTCCCGTTTGTCATTCTCATCTTCTAATCATTAAGATAAGATTAAGAAAGCGATTTTAATTTTAATACCCTACAATTTTCCGAAAATTTACAGTTAAATGCCTAAAATCCGAAAAGTTTCACTTGCATTGTGGTTTCATAAATCCACAGAATTGTTTTTTTTTTGCATCGTCGTTTTATAAATCATTACTTGCGTTCCACGAAAATGTGTTTCTTTTAATGTTTTATAAAAGTGAATATTATACGCGATTAGGTTTTCACTAGGTTCAACCCTTATTGTATATACTTATAATTATATAATTTGTGTTTTTTACTTAATTTGTATCCTACTAATATTTTGGGATTCACTATTAATTTGCGCTCTACTATGGTATACATGATTGCTGCTTTAGTATTTTTTTTTGATAAAAGAAGGATGTTACGATGCTAAAGTATGCCTTAGTTCCTTCTGACCTTATAAAATTATACGGTTTTTATTCTACGTCTGTTTTAAGGTAAGTAATTAGTTATTGCTGCTCTTAAATGACATACGTAGTTGTTGGTTTCGTGCTCTTCAGGAATGTTTTTGTTTGCGTTGTCTAATAAAGAAAAGTGCTACAGTATTTAAGTGTTTTGCTGTGTTATAATTATGATATAATTGTGAGTGTTAATTGTTTTGTTATGTAAATAATTCAGGGCTACTGCTCTAAAATGACATACCCGCTGCTCTACAAGAATAATTTAGCGATTGGTATTCGGAAATGTTAAGCAAAGCGCTCTCTTTGCTCTAAAGTGAAATATCGGAGGCTACTGTCGTTTTGCGCATTAGGAATCCCTCGTGCGCTAATATGACGTACATGTGTGTTCGCTCTAAAATTAAGACCTCACTACCGGTTTGACGCCTCAATGACGTATACTATTGCTCTAAGTAATATGGAAGGTATTGATTCTTCATGTATAGAATTGAGCTAGTGAGGATGAAGTAGCATCTTGCTGCCTGCCAATATTGCAGGATGGCATTCCATTTGTCACTGTTCTAGTCTGACAGACGTCTTATTGACCTTTCTGCCTGTCAATACTCTAAAGTGATATTAATATCATTGATGCTCCAAAACAAAGCTCAACTACACCAACAGGCTAAAGCAACAGACGTGTCCTTGACATTTTGAATGAGTTCGTGCTATTGACACTGACATAGGGTCGTTATTGTCAAACATATACGTACGTATTGATCTTCAACAACAAATAATTTTATAGACAATAAAATGTGTCGTTTTGTAAGCCAGAGGAATGGTGTACCTGTGCCATTAAAGAAAAATAAACGCACTGTTGTGATGAAAGTTAATATTTTATGGACATAACTAATTGCTTCTTAGAGCAATTAATAAAAAGTGAATCAAAAATAGTTGAATTGAGCCACCGTAATTTCTATCCACATTCTTGATTCACGATCTGCTTCTAGACCTTCAAACGTTTTATCAGCGATTAGTTTTGAAGTCATTAGTTTCATACAAACACGCAACATTCTGTAAACCAGAAAAGATAATCTAATTAATAATCCAACCTAATTTGCTAATAAATCATGTTAATTATACAAAGGCAGGAATGGTATTTGGATCGTTGATTTATATTGTTAGTGTTGAAAGTTAAAAATATTTCCTCTTTTTAGTCGTCCGCCTGTAAGTAGCAGGTTTGTACAGTAGACGCGCTTTAGCATGGCATAAAGGTTCTAAAATTAGTTTTGTAATTTTCTTAAAAATTTGTTTTGACTATAATGACGCTTCTGAATTCACCTAACGTTTGTTTATATATATGTGTACTATATGAAGGATATAAAAAAGAGGTTACCGTTGCAATTCTTTCTTGTTTTATTTATAATTATAAAACAATGATTCCTGTTCACGTATGTATCGATAATTTTTTGCATTGTTAATCACCACTCGAACGATGACCCTCTTCTTCAAATACTTATTCTTATACATATGGTCGATTGTAACGTGTCCACTTACGATCATTCATTCGTATCGTATTTTCGAAAGGGTGCTCGTTCACTTGCTATCGCTTCGGAGCAAAAGCGCCGACCGCCGCCATCGGTCACGACCTCCATCGCGCCGTGATCTTTTCAGGAAATTTCATTGTAATAATAACGCACTCGGCCAGAAAATTCGGAAGAGATTGAACTGCACGATCATTAACTCATCATTTCCATTATACTAACAGCGGCGTCTCCGAAATACATAAAATTTTTGTATCAAAAATATGTATCTATTAATAAAATAGTCGAAAGTCGACTTGACCAGCCTAACATTATACCTTAAGTGTAGGTATTGTCGTTGTTGCTGCTGTTACCTTTCGCAGCTTAGTGGTAGAGAACTAGTGTGTAAAATTAGAGGCCCGGGTTCGATTCCCGGCGAGGACGTGACAGCAGCAACAATTTTTCCTCATTAATTTGAGGTAATCCGTAGAGGATAGGAATATTTCGTATATGTATTGATATTTTTCATTGTCTATAGTTGTCGGGTAAACGATCTATTTAACGATAAGTATAGATAACTGTTCAGGTTGAATTTCCTCGCGCAGTTGTTAATTTTCTGGCGAAACTAATTAAGCGCACGAGCTTAATGTGTGGGACACGTTTTCGTGGACAACATATTAGAGTTTTAGCACAATGGGAAACGGGCCACACGCGGCGCGACGCGACGGTGCCATATTAAAGTCCGCCGTCGCCATCGCCCCAATTGTGACTTACACCACCTCATAGTCATCGTCGGGGCAAAATTTATTATTGGTACCTTCGCTTTCGGGACTTTCCCACGACGCCCTCGCGCTTCGTATTTAATAGACGGTTTTCGTTAATACACTCACGTTTTGCGTATTTGTGAATGTAAAACGAAACTTGTCCTGAATATAGACCTCAGTTAAAATACAAAAAGCACATCCTTGCATAGATATTTACGTATCATAATTCAGATTGTTTTTCTTTTAAGTAGTTCTATGTTACAAACTGATGCACTATCATTATCGAAATAGTATACGCAAAACTATGTTACAGTGTCTGCTCTAAAGATGAAATTGAAGCGATTAGGCAGGCTGATGTCGATGTAGAACAATTTTTGAAGTGAAACTTCTATATAGACGAGGTATTACGATTTCTTCTGTCACGAAAAAGCGTTAGGGCCGCGTGAAGGGGGGTAGACGCTATATCGTGTGGTGAGAGGCGGCAGCGGCGGAGGAGAGACAGACTGGCGGTGGCGGAGAAAAGGCAACGGCTGTATTAAATAGATGGATATAATACGCAGCCGCGTGAAGAGTGGGGGTCCGCTAGTCTCTGCGGCGTGTGCTGTGCTCAGCTGTTGTCTTCTTACCTCTGCTCTCCACGTGGTTGGGCATCGTTGCCTCTATTTGCGGTCTGTGTAAAAACTAAATCATAATTTGCAGTAAACCTGTGAAAACGAAATGTGTGCTGGGACACACAGTAGAAGTGTGACAAGTGGAAAATTAAAGGCAACGGACAAGTGGAAAAATGAATCGCAACAAAATTTTTACTTCAAGTTTTACGGGCAGATTGTTAATGTACTTGTCCAATTTGAAAACCGGACAAAATTTTTACTTGAAGTTTTACGGGCACGTTTTCAAATTGGACAAGTACCTACATTAACAATCTGCCCGTAAAACTTGAAGTAAAACTTTTGTTGGGATTCGTTTCTCCGCTTGTCCGTTGAAGTTTCACTTCTACTATGTGTCCCAGCACTCATTTCGTTTTCTTTTTTATAATTACTCAATTAAATGGTAAATTATCTCAACAAGTATGTGCCTAAATTTAAAATATGATTTTATTGTACGGTTATTTCGAGAATTTTGATGTAAACTGCCTGTAATATTCAATCTTGAAAAACATCTATCCATTTTGCTACTTTTTGTGGGGAATAAATAGGTGTCGGTAGGTGCTCTAAAATGTCTGCTCAATTTGACTTTATATCTCGAAATTGTTCATGCTCCCAATTACATTTAATAATGTTACAAGTGTCCTTTAACCTTCAACCCCGGAACAAGGTTTATAAAATAATCAATTTAATTCTATGAAAATAGTGATGATTATTACGGTTCAACAACAGGTCAGATAGTGTAACATTCTCTTCCATTAAATTAATTTCATTTTCCAGAAAAGGTGTTTGTTGTAAATAAAGGATTAGTTCATTCGACTTGACTGCAGTGAAAACGGTCATAATAACCCACAATTCGCGAGTGTAGCTCGTATCATATTTGACATCTTATAAAGAATATGTTGATGATGACGCACAGCTAATCTTATATTAAATGTTCTTCTTATTATTAACACAGTTTCTTCAATTCTTTGTAAATGTAATTTGAAGGAAATGTCGGTGCATCTCAAGAATCTATCGAACCTTGTCATCTCGTCAAACATTGATCAATGAGGAACTCATATACGTTATGTTTTTTGTTGTTTCTTTTTTCTGATGCATGTCCATTTATACATCCTTATATGTTCCGTTTTTTATTGTATCCATATTAATGGCTTAACGCACAATTACCGCGAATTGTGGTTGCTTGGCCAATCGTATTAATCGCCGATTGAGTGTAAGTGTCCCTGCTCCAGGGGCGTATTTAAAACAACGATAAAGGAAACGATTATTTTCAATTTAATAGAGTTTATCAGTTATCATCTTAATGAGCGAAGCAAGTATTTCCGGAGGTCGTGATTTGACGTTGCCGCTATCGGCAGAGCGGGTGATTTTGCGTTTTTCTTTTTCAATCTCTTAGTAGACGGTCTTGGTCGTCGCGGATTCCGAGGGCCTCGCGTCTCTTATAATTTCGCCCTTATCTTCGCCAATAAATCCGACGTTTGTTGTGCGTTCCGCGATCACGCGCGCGCGACCAAACAGATGCATATACCTATCCACATATCCGTGGACGAAGCAGCAGCAGTAGCAGCAGCGGATCGTAGTCGTTGTCTTCCTTTTCCGCCGCCCTCGCGTCTCCCATTTCATCGGCATTGCTAACCGACTGCTAATTGCAATTTATTGTGAACGGTGCCCGCTTTAATTGAATTTCGCTCATTTACTGTTATTGTTCGGTTAATTGCGCAAGCGGGGCCGCTCACGCGCGCATCCGGCAACGGCAACAGGAGCTGCTGCACACAGACGAGACGGTAGCCCCGCGTTGCTGCTGCTGTTAATCACGAAAAGATAAATTTAAACCGCGAATACGGATTGCGAGTGCGTTTTCGGCGAGCCGACTAGTAGACGACCGATCGACCGACGACGGCTGATTGCTTTATGATTGGGGAACGTTGCGTGCGCGTACGGCAATTAAATTACGCCCCCGGCGCGTTTTCGCGCGTGCGCGCTCTTTGATCTCGCCGAAAATGCCGACGGTCGTACTGCAACCAACGCTTTTAAGTAGGAATAATGTTTAAAGATTGTAAAACGTTCTCATAGAACCGTCGCTAATGAATGTACAAACTGTAAATTTCTTTTTATTCTTCCACTTCTTACAGTCAGGTAGCTTTTTAAAGAAGATTCGAAGGTGTTTTCGAAGCGTATATCGTTATTTCGTTATTTTCAGTAGTAATAGTAGTAATTATAATTAAGTAAGTTAGTAAATATTAATACTGCTTACTGAAAATAGACTTTACATCTTTGTCGCTATTTTTTTTTATGTTGAACGAACAAAAATCACAAGCCGACCCTGCACGTGATTTGCTAACCATGATGTAGTACAACTGAATCTTTTAGTACAGCAAATTGCGATAAGGACTGAGCAGCTAAGCAATGTCAGTTATCCAACACCGAAAGTAAACATAGACAACAACTTACCGCTTACCTACCGGCGAGTTCGGATCACCAGTAAATACACCCTTTCAAACATTATAAAATTTGTTCGATATTAGAAGACGTCTACCAGAATTATTTCTCATTTGCGCAAAAACGTCAAGCATTTAGCGAATTTCATTTGCAGCGATCATCTCAGCGTCCTGCACATCTTAACATTGTGCACTGGCCTTTGATACACGCGCTGTTTCATACAACCCCATACAAAGAAGTTCTAAACTACGACGGAGTTAGATCCGGAGCACTAGGGATGTATTACAACACCCTATGAAAGAAATTGACGCCTGAAGTACTTTTTTGTCGAAATAACTGATACAAATCCACTCATAGCAGTTTGTAGTAGCTGCGAATAATAAGGATGCAGCAACTGTTCCTTTAAAATTCTTGTCTTGTCTTCTATGAAATTAAGAAATAAAAATGTCTTAGCTATTTGGTAGCTCTAGTAATATATCTGCTGTTTTCCGATTTCCACCCTTCCCTCTTCCCTTCTGAATGGCTCCTTATATCGGCAATTCTCGATATCATACTAATAATGAATCAGCCACTGGCTTTAAGAAAAAACAATGGCGTGGCTCACAATAATGACAACAATTTTTATACAATGATACACTAACCTAGTGCACATGACAAATAATGCTAATTGAATGCGGCGTTGCGTTGTCGTATTTTTCTCGTTGATACATTCAGATACGTTTTTCTCGAAAGCAGTGAACATTCGGATCTGCAAACAGTTACTTTTCTTTCTAATTTTGTTTAGGTCAAGCTAATATATACAAAATCGATAGAGTGAACAAGTTTGACTTAGTACAAACTAGTTTGTCCTATTTTTCCACATAAACTATTTTTGCCTGAATCAACATCTACATTTATGGTAGAAGTAATACAGAAAATTATAATATTAAATGAGCTAACTCATGGTATTTTTTCTATATATTTATTTTCCATTGTTGCAGCCAGCTTTACCTAGTTATGAAGAAGCCATTCGTGATCAAAGGCCTAGTTTGACATCGAACAGACTCCATAGACCTCACTGGCCTTTTCTGGCTCAAAGAAGAGCGAGAAATTCACCAGAAGGAGCACACGTTACTAGACAGGGGTCTTTGTAAGTGACATTTTATTTATTATTTTTTCTTATTAGCTTGATAGTTTATTCTAAATCCAACTTTTACATCTACCTACAATATTTCTCCATTGATGCGGTCATACATTCGATATATATGAAGAAGTTTTGATGCCTATTAATAAGGTGTGAAACATTCAAAATGAAGATCGGTTGTGTTAAGTTAAAATAAAGTGAATTTATAAGTTAAATTTTGAGCATGTGGAAGAATATGTAATCGTAAAAGGAAGGTGCGTTACTTAAATGCCATTGAATGGAAAATCTTCTTTTTAAATTCAGAAAATGACAGGTTCTCGATCAGAAAAGAATACCTATCATTGAAGCTTCATATATTATGTTGCTAACGGTGATTGTTTTGCGCAGCTGGCGTGAGCCGTACGTGAAATCGGTCAGGATGAAAAAATAAAATAAAAAATTGAAAACGTGACGTTGTAAATTTCATCGACGGACGCGGCTGCCAGCGGGATGTTTGTATTGCGGAAAACTTATTTGCCGAAATAAATTCGCGCTGACTTTTGTTTATGTCGTTCGCTAGTCTGCATAATGAACGATCGAGTGCTCTTTGTCACGTCACCGGGCGGCGTAAGTGAGACGAAATTTGAATAAAATGAAGACACGTTTATTACCGCGCCTGTGAAAACGACAACGCGACGCACCGCCGCACCGGTCGCAACTTGCATCGCTCGGTCTATCATCGTCAGCGATAAGCCGGAACTCTGTCTTTTGCCGTCATCGGCATCGCGCGACTGATGTTGCTCTTCTCTCGAAAGATCTTTCTCTTTTTTACCGCGCGTCTTTAATAGAAAGCCAGTGGCTTTTTTTTTACGAACAGTAGCCACGAATTATACCCACGATTAAAGAACTGACGCGGAACGGTTAATGGTCACGCACATGAACGAAACGTTTTGTAGGTGTATTCGTGTAAATTATATGGGTGTCCTTAATGCTGTTTTACTTAGAGAAATGCATTGGAATTCTCGTAAATGTCCCTTTAAACTTTACAACCGTCAGGGTTTGAAGTGAAGCTTCCTTTGACACGCCAGAACGAAACGATGTAATTCTTGATGAAACATAAAATAAAATTGGTCACGTAGAAACCGGAATATGAGATATTAATCATAAACACAAATAATTTTTATCAACTTAGGAATATCGGTATGCGTGGAAATGAGTAAATGTAAAGATAGGAAACGAAAAAATAGAAGAAGTCGCTGATTTTCGGTATCTAGGAAGAGATATAAAAGAAAGGATAGTGGAAGGTCGAGTATTTTTAACAAATAGAAGTCACACCTATGGTCGCGAACTGTTTATCATCATAAGGTTGTCAGTCCTAGGACTCTTTGGACACGCATCTCCGAGCTGATCTTCCCATTTCCCTAAAAATAGAACAACCCACATCCTTAACTATTTGCGAACAGTAATCTAATCTAGGTCTACCTCTATCCCTCTTAATGTACCTTTCTATCCCGTTTCTGCCTTTAATAGGTCTCATGCCTGAGAAGGTGTCCTATCAACCTATTTCGCTTATTTCTAATTGACTTCCATAGTGTCCTCTGTTCTTCTATTCTTTCTAATATCTGTTCATTTCCAACCTTCTCTATCCACGGTATCCTCATCATTCGCCGGTAACGCCACATTTCGAACGCTTCTAACCTTTTCTTTTCCGCCGCGCTCACCCATACTATTTCGCGAACTGTTAATTCAGAAATTTTAAAAAGATTGTTAAAGGTGTACGTCTGGAGCACGAAACTGTAAGCGTGGATGCTGGACGCGACAGAAGAGAACAGATTAGAAGCGTTTGAAATGTGGAGTTACAGGCGAATAATGAGGATATCGTGGATAAAAAAGGTTAGAAATGAGGAGCTATTAGAAAGAGTAGGAGAACAAATAAGGGCTTTAACCAATAAGAAATAGACAAGATAATTTGATGGGACACCTTCTCAGGCATTAAGGGCTAGTTAGAGACGAACTTTATCCTTATACAAATCAATCAATCTTGAATAGAAACTCATTATAGTTCAAAAAATCCAATAATTTTTCGGCCTCTGTCAAAGTTGCAAAAGTATCACAAATTCTCAAATAATTCACTACACAAATATGCTTTTCAACAGAGGTTTAGGGAATATATGTATGGCGCCAATTTTTCTTCAAATTACACAAATGGTGCGAAATCCCCTTTTAAGGGATTGGATTCCCTAGTATCCCCGGGCCCTCTATTAGTGTCATTCGAATTGTTGATTGAGTTGTGGCTGTCGTGTCGACCGAGAGTTACGGCAGGAGCGCGTCCTGCGGCGCCGTTTCGTGAGACGAATCGTCACGCTGCGCCTCCCGGTCCGGTAACCGTTAAAAATTACTTTACTGTTTCCCTTTTTCGACATTAAACAGCAGGAAATATTAGATTGCTGCCAGGAAGTCGCCCAGTAGACGAAATAAAAGTTTCGAAACGAAATTTACGGCGGTCTTCCCGTTTACTGCTTTTAAATTATTATCGTCGAATAAATTTCGGCGGTGCCCGTAATAAAATTTGCCTTTCTCAATTTTTAACTGCGGCTATTAATTTTTCAGTTAATGTTGATGGCCCTCGACATGTACAGGATGTTTCGTATTGTAGTGACTTGAAGGAAAATGTAATTATCTAATTGCTTTTAAGTGAATATCTTTAAATATTATGGAACTAGTCGAATGAATTGTTTTTGGGTATAAGACAGAATAGTTAAGTATACTTCAATTAGGCAGTAAAAGAAACAAAAAGGCTTTATGTAAATAAATAACATTAAGCTTTTGTGGTCAGTAAAGTCGAGATTTTAAGGTTTTTGGTTCCCATCAGCACATAACAGGTGGCTTCGATAGATCATTGCCTAAACCGAAGTTGTTTCATACAGGTAAGTTATTTAATACCATGTCAGCGGTAGTTAATTGCCATCTGTCGATATTTAACGCTAACTGTAGTATTTCATAATATATCTACCTGCCAGTTTCAAGCGATGACTAACCTTATACATTTACGTGAGAGGTATGCAAACCAATGCAAGTGCAATATGAAGTACTAAAGTTAGTCGTAAATAGTAATAGATGGCGATACTCTGTCATTTGTTTGAAGTTTTTATATTTTTGAATTGAGTTATAATGATGAGGCAAACGATTAACATAGCTAAATAATTCTTATAGATTTTAAATGTTTCGTTTATTGTTTTTTAATCTCTTATAGCTATGAAATGTCAATTGAGCGCCGACTGTCCTTATTTTTACATTTCGTTTTAATCTAAGAATCTATGACAAAAATAATAAAGAAAAATAGACCACCTTACCGTACATCCTCGGTACATGTCGTTGTGTAGNAAGGAAAATGTAATTATCTAATTGCTTTTAAGTGAATATCTTTAAATATTATGGAACTAGTCGAATGAATTGTTTTTGGGTATAAGACAGAATAGTTAAGTATACTTCAATTAGGCAGTAAAAGAAACAAAAAGGCTTTATGTAAATAAATAACATTAAGCTTTTGTGGTCAGTAAAGTCGAGATTTTAAGGTTTTTGGTTCCCATCAGCACATAACAGGTGGCTTCGATAGATCATTGCCTAAACCGAAGTTGTTTCATACAGGTAAGTTATTTAATACCATGTCAGCGGTAGTTAATTGCCATCTGTCGATATTTAACGCTAACTGTAGTATTTCATAATATATCTACCTGCCAGTTTCAAGCGATGACTAACCTTATACATTTACGTGAGAGGTATGCAAACCAATGCAAGTGCAATATGAAGTACTAAAGTTAGTCGTAAATAGTAATAGATGGCGATACTCTGTCATTTGTTTGAAGTTTTTATATTTTTGAATTGAGTTATAATGATGAGGCAAACGATTAACATAGCTAAATAATTCTTATAGATTTTAAATGTTTCGTTTATTGTTTTTTAATCTCTTATAGCTATGAAATGTCAATTGAGCGCCGACTGTCCTTATTTTTACATTTCGTTTTAATCTAAGAATCTATGACAAAAATAATAAAGAAAAATAGACCACCTTACCGTACATCCTCGGTACATGTCGTTGTGTAGCTTGTCTTTACTAAAAAGTTCCGTTTCCGCTATAATTCGCCTGAGTGCACGTATAGGTATGTCTTCGTTTTCGTCCTAAAACTTTTAATGATGGCGCATAACTTCTTGTTTGCCCCCATTTACAAGCATAATAATTAGTGCTGCCTTAAAAAAAAAGCATTGAGCTTAAGTTTGTGTATTAATGACTTGTTAAGGATATATATGGACACGCCTTTTCTCGAAATTGTTCCGTCAATTTTTGAAATGGTACATTCGACGACTTCCTGACGAGAGGCATCCTTAAAAGCCAAATTATCTGTAATTAACATGTAACTGCCAAAACAAACTGCCAATGAGAGTATTATAAAACCGCTACCACCAACGGCTATAACCAATTAAGTTTGCAGAATAAATTTTAAAGATAACGACACGTTAAATTTCTCAAGGAAAATGCAGTGATTCGCTAAATTTTAATTTTACACAAAAGGAGAAATATATTATGTCACTCACTAAATTTATCCTGTCCTGTCATTAATATGTATCATGATAAAGGATATACGGGTTTGACACGCACCTCTACTCTTTCCTGAATTAAATGTCGTTGAAATGTGAGGTGCAGGCGAGTGATGTGGATACCGTGGATAGAGAACGTTAAAAAATTAGAACAAGTAGGGGAACGGAGGACGCTAGGGTAGTCAATAATAGATGAGATAGGTTGGTGAGACACCTTCTCAAACATGAAGGACTAGGTGGAGACTTTTTAGAAGTTAATACAGGAGTTAATAGTAGTAGAGATAGACTAGATTAGATTAATGTTCACAAATAGTTAAGGTTGTGGGACGTTCTAGTTTTAAGGAAATGCGAAGATTAGCTCAGGACAGGAATAAGTGAGGTGCGTGTCCAAGCAGTCTTAGGACTGACTGCCCTATGATGATGATGACAGG